GTGCTCAAATATGTATTAGGGTTGATTCTTGTAATTTATATTTGATTTATTTAGTTAATCGATTATTCCTGAGAATAATCAATTAACACTAGCCGTTGGGGGTTTCAGATTTGAAAAACTAGCCGTTGGTGGTTTCAGATTTGAAAAACTAGCCGTTGGGGGTTTTAGATTTGAAAAACTAGCCGTTGTACTCATTATTAATCGATTAATATTTATGTTAATCGATTAAATGCGTTAGATGGCCCGTTTTCGAAGAATGGAAGGGTATTAGGCTGAGTCTATAAAATGTCTCACTCTTTATCTCAAAAATAACTCTTCCCTTGTGCAAAAGATCTCTGAACTCTTTGAGAACTCTGTGAGATTGTTGAAGCTAAGGAAACTCTTGTCTGCAAAGTCCTGAAGTGCTACTGCGGTGACAGAGGAATAGCTTGTTCATCCTTGGTGTGTTCGAGGAAGTGCGTGGAAGAGAATCATCCTTCGTGAAGCATTCGAAGGAGGTGGTCATCCTTTGTGAAGATTCAAAGGAAGTGTAAGTTCGTCTCTTGTGGTTTCAAGAGAAGTGGTATCATCCTTTGTGAAGATTCAAAGGAAGTGTAAGTTCATCTCTTGTGGTTTCAAGAGAGGTGGTATTTCTAAACTCTTACAAATTGTTTTTCTTTGTGACTAATATTTGTAAGTGTTTTGTGTTAGTGAAAAAGGTTTATCTTGTTTGAGATAAGCGACTGGACGTAGGATCCTAGTGATCTGAACCAGGATAAAATCACCTGTGTAATTTTTCTCTTTCCCTTACTCTGTCATTTATATTTAATCATTCGCCCAGTAAGAAAAATTAAGAGAAAAATAATAAAAGGCACAATAAAAGTATATAACCAATTCACCCCCCCTCTTGGTTTGTTCCACGCTAATAATTCCGTTGCAGCGATTCTAACAAAATATAGTTTGACATGATTTTTGGAGTTGTTGATAGAAGACCTTGGGGGTGCTAAAGTATGCAATTCATGCACTTTTATGTATGATCAACAAAAGGTAAATGTATTTCTCATATGTTTCTGTTTTGTTTCCTAAGATTAATTGTATTAGTGATATCAAAATTGGTCCCCATTTTTGTTTAAAATGTTCAATTTGGTCCCTTTTTACAGGGTTTACTCCCAGCTATGTATGAAATTTTACCTGAAGCAGAGCACAAATTTTGCATGCGACATTTATATGCAAATTTCAGGAAAAAGTTTTCTAGGCAAAACTTGAAGAATCTGATGTGGAAGGCTGCTGCAAGTACATACCCCGAAGCTTGGGAAAGAGAAATGTTAAATATAAAGGAAGTGAATGAAGAGGCTTACAAATACCTAATTGCTATCCCGCCAAGGTATTCTTTGTTCCTTAACAATACATTGAAGACATGTAGAGTGGATATAAACATAATTTTTATTCCTTGTAACAGGTATTGGTCTAGATCTAGATTTACAGGTCGAGCACTTTGTGATACACTAAATAATAACATGACTGAAGGTTTTAATAGTGTGATTGTTGATGCACGAGGAAAGCCCATTATAACCATGTTTGAAGAAATTAGGGTTTACCTCATGAAAAGATGAGAAACCAACAAAATTAAGATGTGTAATATGGACTTTGATATTTGTCCCAAGATTAGAAAGAGACTTACAAAAGAGTCAAATTTATCCAAAAATTGAATCCCTAGGTATGCATTTCTTTTCCCATTATTAGTTGATGGCACTTGGTCTGTGATTAAAATGGCGGTATTGATCACTTAATTTTTAACTTGTATTCATCTATTACTTCATGGCAGTTGGTCTGCAGAAAAACTCTATGAAGTTAGACATTTTGCACAGATTACAAACAGGTTTGTAGTTAACTTGGACAATCAAGATTGTACGTGTAAGAAATGGCTTATTATTGGGATCCCTTGCTGCCATGCAATTGCAGCCATGAGGTTCTTAAATTTAGATCCAGAAGATTATGTACCCATTTCGTTCAAACGGTCCATGTATGATGAAACATATGCCTCCATCATATTTCCAGTCACTGGCCCCCTGTTATGGGAAATAACATCCTACCCAAATGTCCTCCCACCATTCAAGATAAAATTACCAATTAGAAGACCATGTGCTTTATAATGTTATAATGTTGTAGTACTTTTGTTTTGTTCGAATTGGTCACTTGTGTGCTAAACATTTGGACATGACACTGGATATGTTTTGATGTACTTTACAAATTAAGTGACCAGTATCATGTTTTGATGTTTCAATTTAAATCCTTACATATAACCATGACCTCAGTTCTGTTTATGCAAAGATATCGTTTTTATGCTTTATACAATTGCAAAGATATTGTTGTTTATTGCTTTATGCACACATCAGTCATCATCATAGGGACCATATTCACAAATAATTAACGAAAATAGGGGCTAAATTGAACAATTAATTACTAATACAAATTTCATTCCTTCATTCATTACAAAAGACATAGGCACAACCTTAACATCACATTAGTTTAACTCCATTGACCTAAAAACACTACATTCAACCAGATTGGGACCACCTAAAACACATCATTAGTTGAATTATTTTACACACAACACATCATCCTAAAAACACACAGAACATAACTATGTTCACTACACTTACAACACCAGTCACTTCTACTAATATTTGGATCCTTTTCTTTAAAGCTTTGACTGTGTTTTCCAGATCATAAATCTTCCTCCTTTGCCTCTCAATAATAACATCCATTTCATCAAGATTTTCTTCATTGCACCACTTGAAATAGTTGCAACACATCGCATTACCAGCTCCACTCTGTTATTCATGAACAACAAAAACTTCAAACACAATGTTAATTACTAACACATAAACAACATAGGGGTTATTCAGATTACCTTGTAGTTACGACAACCCCAAAAATATCTTCCCGCATTCTTTGAAGTTCTAGCCATTTTTACTACTATCATATCACCACAATTGCAAATGGGGATTATCCCTAGCCCCATTGAACCACCACCATGTGAACAATGACAACTTCGGTGCCCCAAGCTATTGCAACAAGAAGAAGAAGATTGGGAAGCAGACACGGCTCATTAACCACCAAGATTGGGAAGAAGATTAGTTAACATCCAATCTCCCTATAACTTTCAAAGAACAAAAGTAAAAACCCTAATTTGAGAATCCACCCTCATTTCACCTTTATAAAGGGTTTCATAAAATAGAATTTCAAAAATAATAAATCCAACTCACAATGCCACAAAGGACTCCACGTCAGCCAATACATGACATTTCACTCTGTAATTGCACATCTGGACATCTGACCGTTAATGATTTAAACGATATTTGCAAAAAGGACTAAATTGAACACAAATTACATTCTTTAGGACTACATTAAACAACAACAAAAAATTCGGACTATTTCGAACATTTTCAATCAAAATTCAAACAAAAAAATGATATTAAACCTATAATTTATTATCTATTCCACCTATTCCACCTTTCGAGTGTTTAATAAGATTCCGAAAATAACGTGTTTTTTCATAATTTTAATTTCTTAAGTATCAACACAATTTATGAAAATTTTTTCTTTTGTCTAAATTAATTGTGAATTGCAGTTTTGTCACATCACACGTCTTTTGAAAAAACAACAGTTACTTATAAGTTCCTATTGTGTGACAAATACACTTGTCATTGAACTAATCATACTAACATATATCCACAACTATCCTAGCACAACTGCATTGTGGAATGACCGAGGAAGTTACGGTCCTACAATGTATAGTTATTTGGCCGATAAACATGAACAAAATTGTACCCTAAACCCTAAGAGAAAGATTGGGTGTGGTTAAAGCTGCAAGGAAGACCATTGTAGTAATTTGTCATTATTTTTGCCCCTTTCAAGTTGCAAACTCATTAGTTGGGTGGTGTATAAAGTAGACCTAAACTTCGTGTGCATCCAACCACAACCCTACTCTACTCCCAATGACGAGAACCCTAACTATCCTTTAGACATTAAAAAGTTTAACTCTTATGAACTTTCCTTAATCCCTTCACTTGGATCATATAACCCTAACTCCCCTTTTGATAATGAAAAAGTTTAACTCTTATGAACTTTCTTCTTCCCTAATCCCCGATATTTTCCCTTCACTAGGACCTTATTTTGTTTCTCCAAAACCACATCACCTCATCTCTCATCCTTTATCATTCAGGTAGAATATGGAACTTAAACCAAATTGATTTTCAATATAAATTGATTTTCAGTATAATTGATCCTCCCAACAATAAAAAGATTCAAGTAGATCTAAAATATAAAAGGACACAAAGGTAAACATCCACAAATAAAACATAATACAAAAATGAAAAAAAAAAACACCATCTACATAATGTGTTATTTTGCTTAACGTCACTACGTATATATGATAATAAAATATGACATGCTAATTAATTAAGAAGATACGCACATACGTATTATTCTAAATCTTGAGTTTAAATAGATTTAACTTAAAAAATTATTAAGGTTATTTGTCCTTTTAGATATTTCATTTTATCTATATTATTGTTTTAAGCATTCCACTTTAAAAACCAACTAACAGAACATGCACTTATAATTAATATATAAAACTATAGTAAATTGAAAATTGGTTTTTAAGTGTCAAATAATAATTTTCTTATTTTAATTTATATTTACTATTGCGAACATATGATTGGGATTATTGGTTACTTGTTATACCCTTCTAAGGCCATACTCGGTGCTTTCAATGATATGAGTTGCCCGTATAATACAAGAAAATCATGATATATAGTGTCATTATTTTTTTTTATATTATCAATTAATAATAATGAATAATATTCTTTTATTTTAAAATTTTATTTATATTTATTTTTATAATATTTTATCATTAAAAGGATTAAAAGGAAAGTAAGACAGTTAAATCATAATTTTTCATAACAGAAAAAGTCTCTTTTAATGAAATTGTCAGAGGACTATCAAAGGGTTTCTTACTTCTAAACATTCTTTTTAATAGCCATTCATAAAAACATGAAGTTGAAGGGATGCGAAATCTGCAGAATTACATAAGGGGATTCTGAACACACAGAAAGCAAAATTTGAAGCTGATAAAGCACCCCATTCCCCAGGCACACATCATCATAAAACTTCAAACAAATCTGCAAAAATATCCCTATGATAGACTTCATCACAGTGTGGAGACGTTGATCGGGTCCAATGCTTACAAGGAGCACGTATGCCACATACACGACAGTAACACTGCACATATGATCGCAGGGATATTTCAGAACAAGTTGGTGGTCGGAGGTAATTAAGGTGAACACGAACAAGCAAAATATAGTTAAAGACAGCAACTCCTATCACAAATTAATTAATAATTACCAGTTCACAATAGCTATCGTGAGGTGTTGCGGTAAACGGAAATTTAATACACAGATGTCTTGGATGAGGGTAATCCCTGCAAGCTACCTATACATTTGTAAGAAACAAATAACTTTTAAATAATGAACTTCGACAACAAACATCTTCACTCAAGCAGCAAGAATATTCTCAAAGGTTTAGAAATGAAAACTTTTTGCGACATTTTACTTCACCTCCAACTACAGCATACCTTTCAAGCTATGCAGCGACATCAACTGTGGGAGGGTTAAGCATACTGTAATACATACTGCAGTAAAATCTTAATATGTGAGACAGGTTTTTGTAGATATTTACCTTACCGTTTTCACCAACAATGTAGACATCTTTAGAGGCATCACCTTGGTGGTTATTTTTGTCGTCCAAGGAAAGCACGGAGAAGTCGAATGAGTCATATGGGTCGAAATCTAAGATGAAACAATCCTCAGTTTCCTCGAAACGTTTCATGTCCTCTTTTCTAAAACAGACTATGGTTCTGGTTGGAGTCTCCTCCTTTATCCATAGAAGGCCTGATCTTTTTCCATTCACCGTTATCTCTTCCATTGTTCTTGCTTCCCTTTCTGTCCCTTTTGGCTTCAAAGAAATGAGACTGTGGACTCTACGAATTCCGCAGCTAGCTAAGCAATAAATATCAAATTCTGAAGCTCTTCGCATTCCTCGTGTGCGCGTGACTTCCATGCTACTGTAGCAATTTAAGTGGGACTGGTTTGGTAAAGTTGGAAGGGGCCAGAGGGGTAGCAGTTCAACGTTAACAACTTTATAATTAAAAAATATATATTTTGAAACACAAAATTTTTATATTTATTTTATAGTTCTTTTTTCTTATTTTTTTTTACCTTTTTAAATATAAATATTTATTCTTTTATAACATTTTATCCTTGTACGATATGTCAAATGAATATAAAAATGCATCACCATAATTTATGAATAAAGAAATAAGTAAAAATGCAAGGTACTAAAAGAAAAATTATATTTACTATAAATATAGAAAAAGAAGATAATTTATTTTATTATTCATGTTTATTTTCTGTAGAAGTGTCTCAAAAATTATTATTTGTTAATTATTTTTACATTATTCATATATGTCAGATTACAATGATGAATCAAATAATACACTTATTAAACAAATATAGAAACAAATTACACGAATACATATTAGACTTAGACTAATATAACAAAAAATATTAGACAAGTCATTCTATATGTTAATTAGAGGAGTATAACAAAAATTATTACACAAGTATAGGAATTGATATCAACCTCCTTTGCTAGGTTGGGCCAAAGCTTAGAATTAAGTAAGGGGATGGTCTCTATGGATGGTATGGTTGCGGAAATGGGATGAGATAAGGTAATATGATGCACAAATAGTGGTGGTGAAGGAGATATCACAGGCTTGGGCTATGTGGTGAAGATAGTGAGTAGGTTAATGATTTAAAGAGATGTTAGGCCAACTCCATGAGGTAGGTGACTAGAGGGGCCTCTAGGGTTGCTCTAGTCATGATCTAGGAAATGTATGACCATAATTTGACAGCATAACATTACAGTAATCCAATATGAAATACAAGGGTGGAGACACCTCTATTTATAGGCCAAGAATGTCTCCTTTTAACCCTAAAGCATAATCTCCCACCTTTTCTCTTATTGATAAAAAATGAGACCTTCTAAGGAGTGGACAAGTGTCCAAAAATTCTCTCAAATGATGGGATGACATGTGACCACTGACAAAACACAATCTTCTCCATTCCTAGAGTATCATCTGGCCACTACTAAAAGAAAATCCTCTCCAATGGTGGAGGAACATGTAGCCACTACCAAAAAGAAATCCTCTCCACTCCTAGGGTGACATGTGGCCACTTCTAAAAAGCAAATAATCTCTAATGGAAGCATGATACATGGAACACACTTTCCACTTGGTTTGCATGTCTAACTTATGGAAAATCCTATACTACTTAGGCCTTAATACAAGCCTTAAACAAGCTTACACTACATGGCCGAATATAATGGCCTAGATATCCTATGCTACTCTTCAATCCATGCTCCATGATGACTTCGAAGGTGGCCCACAAGGTAGAGTTGATACCATTTTCATGGATGGCTTCCACTCTCTTGAAAGTGCTTGACCATGGCTAAGGGATTTGCTATTAGGAATATATTGATTAAATGAGTGAAACAAAAAATATTAGACAAGTTTATCGATGTATTGATTAAATGGGTCTAGCAATACACATTAGAAACATTATTTATACATTAATTAAACGACACTAGCAATATACATAGATAAGTCTTTCCACACACAAATTAAATAAGTCTATCAATATATATTAGACAAGTTTGTTTATTTAACTAGATGAATCTTGCAATACACATTAGACGATTTTGTTCATACACTAACTAGTTGAGTATAACAAAAGAAACATTAAAAGAGTTTAACAATACACATTAGACAACTTCATCCATATAATGATTAGATGAGTCTAATAACTTTAGTTGAGATTATCAATGCACTGATTAGACAAGTCTAATAATACATATTAGATCAATTTGTTCATACATTTTAGCGAGTTTACTCTACTTATTTCTACACATCCTTTATATTTTAGAGAATCTACACTGTTTTTTTGCACATGTTTTATCCTTTGTATTTTTACAAAGTATATTATTTATATTTTGATAGACATATTGACTTTCTAAATGTATAAAATATTTTTCAGGTTGAGTGTATTCAAAATTCAGAGTTAAATATGTTCTTGGTCCCTTAACTTTTATTCAAATTGAAGTTATTTCATCTCCAAAACTTTGGCCCATTTTAATCCTTCAACTTTAGTAATGGATTTAGTTTGTTTAACCAAATTTTTTTAAAGTTTATTTGATGTTTCAAATGTGTTTCATGATAACATTTGAGTTGTTTACGTTGTTTGATACATTTTCGCTCTGGTTTTAGTAGTTGAGAAACGTATTTGAAACCTCAAATAAACTTTTTGTTAAAAGGATTAAATCAACGTATATTTCACAAGTTGCGAGACTAAATTAGATCAAAGTTTCGAAGATAGACTAATTCCAATTTTCACTTAAAGTTAAGCAACTTAAAAACATATTTAACACCAAATTTGATTATAAACTTAAAAAATCTTTGTTATTTTTTTCCTCAACCTCTAAATCTCTCTTTATAAGCATAATCCGTCCGTGCATGGAGGCGAGTTTAAAACTAGTTTTGATACCAAAAAGTTTTACATTTATTTGAGATTATCTTTTATAATATTTTTTTTTTACAAATATAAATTTTTTATTTTGCTCTTGAAATAAATTATCATATGATTATTTTTGGTATCAAACAATATGTTTTCCTAATTATAATTGTTTTTTAGTTTGAATTTTAGTAAATTTATATGGTAAAATAAAATAAAAACTTAAAAGACTCTATAGATCTATAAAATTAAAATAATTTCATAACTTTATAATGCGTTTAAAAATTTCAAAACTCAATGAAATAATAAAAAAAGATTAAAAAAATCATATATTTTTCAAATTATTAGTAGTTAATTACTTTACTTTTTACTGTTGTATTTAGTTTTTAGCACTATGAATTCCTCACAACCATTATACACTAATATTGCGAACTTTATTTATATATAGAGTAAGTTCAAAGTATCGTTCTCCCAAGGGACTTGTGCAACACAGGACAATTCTTCCTTTTATAACTCAATTAGACATCAAAGTGTACAAAAAAATATTTGAAAATATTTTTGGTATTTTTATCAAACAGTTGGTGTGCAAGGAATTATATTTAAAAGAAACTTCGTTGGAATTGGGTTTCATGAATCATATGAATATAAAACTCTGTTCAATATTTCATTACTTCATTCAAACATTCACATCAAGGCAAACTAGTCCTAATTCCTTAGCAACTAGTTCTAAATTAATATATTAAAATGATAATCCCTTAGTCAATTTAATATACAATTTGCATTAAGTCCGATGTTAAGAATGATCAAGTTATTCAGTCTATCCCTAGATCCCAAATCACTTAAGTGCTCTATCTACGTTCGTTCATGTTCAAAGTTACTTTCCAGTAATCAAAGACATTCAGATAACATTATATTTTCATACAATGATAATAAATTCAAGAAAGAGCATATGAACGAACGATATATTGAGCAGGAAAATTACAGTGAGTTCATTACATCCAATCCCAACGAAAGAGAAATTTAACTACTCCTAGTCATCTAAAACGTACACATTTGAAGCAATCCCTTGCAACAATGGTGTCTTGATGCCTTGAAGTAGTCTCC